GACAATTATTACAGAGTGACTGTTGGAAACTAGCCTTTTGGAATACTCAGGGTGCTATGAGTGGATTTCATTTCACCTACAGTGAATCTTTCTCAAGGACATTAATGACAGATTACTCATGGCTTTGTATGCCTCTCCTCCTCATTTCTTCAATACTTCTGGTGAGACGTTTGAAGCAGAATGAAGTTAGCCTCAAGATGCTCTGCTCTGGAAGTGCTTTGAACCTCTCATCCTGGAGTGGGGGGGAGACGGACCCTGGAAACCATTCCCAGCGCTTGCCTGAATATGCATTGCTAAGAAGCAACACTATATAGCTGTAGACCTTGCACAGAGAATGGAAAGGAATGTTTTGCTTTGCTTCTGTTTGTATTCTGTAAAGCAGTATTATGTATTTTTGTATCACATTAACTTGCTGCTGAGGGAAAAAATTAAAAACCTTTAAGATAAGAGTCAGAGTGGTCATGCTTTAAATTTTGAGAACTGGGATGTGAAACAAAGCAAATTGACATTATTAATACGACCGTGTATAAATGTACAAATGCCTGTAGTAAGATCAGTTGATTTTCTCTGAACAAGGATCAGCAAATGGAGGTTTCAAGGCCAAATCCACCCCCTCTCCTTTACACACCTACCTTGCTCTGAACAAGGAACTTCTCTCTCACACACAAACACCTCAGTTCCCCAGTGTCAGAGAGGTAAGGAATGGTGGCTGTGCTGTGGGCAAAAGGATTTGCTGACAATCTACTGTGTGAGTTGGGCCTCCAGCCCAGTACCATCTACTGTCTCCCAGTGGCCCTCATGGAAAGACTACTAATCAGAGACTTGGAACTATGCCTTGCACTCACCACCAGACTGAGTTCTAAAAATATATATAATGTTAAATAACTAAGATTCTTGGCTCTATACTATTTCCAATGAGAAAAAGAAGTCGTGGTAGTAACAGCTAACATATAATGCAACCTAGTTAGACAACATATATTTGAATACAGCTTTGCCAGCATGATGAATAGCTGAGGGGTTACATTAGATCGGGAGCCTTGTTCATCTCAAACTGAGCAGGCTGCCTGCCCCCAGAGCCGCTTGTACCATCATCCTCTTTACACAGGCAGCTCACTGTGATCCCTGTTGAGAAGACTTATAAACCTGGGCCTGCTGATGGTGTGACTTCTAATGCTTATTGAAGGCTTCTCACTTACAGTGGAGCCTACTTATAGACGGATCTGGCAAGATTTATCCTTCTCTGTTCAAATATAGCACAGGGCTCTACAGAGGTAGCTTGGGGGGCTTCTTACGGGTTGCTGCATGGGCCTGTACATTCTTATTCACGCTGGGATTAAAACTATAAAGTAGCACCAGCTGAAAACGGATTCCATTATTATGAGCTCCTCAGGGAAAAGCCATCACCGTTAAACTGGTTATAGTCAGTTTTACACTGGATAGGTCAATAAGGGGCACAGCAGAAACTCCACCGTAACTGCACCAGACACTAGGTTGCTTTTCAAGCAGCCATCTCTTAGGCCTGGTTCTCTCAAAAAGTAGATGAAACAGGAAACTACTTCCACTGCAAACAGGGATCATAACTGAACATATATAGGGATGTGCGTTCGGTGTAAACCAAACCGAATAAACACCTGTATTACTTAAGCCAAATACAGATCAGAGAACTCCCCGCACATAGAAGAGGAAGGTTCTAGCCAAGCTTCCCCTCCCCCCGCAAATGCTTTTCTTTCTTTTTTTAAAATAAAGAACCTTTACATCACATACGTCTATCTGCAGTATGACGTAATGCAGTCCAGGCATAGGTTTACCACTTCATCTTTTGTGAGAGCTTTTGGAGATCTGTCATCAGATCTCACCAAGTCTTTAAAATTCTACAAATAGCAGTGAGGAAATCTGGATCAGAATCAGTGCTGGGAAGAGAGGGGTTAATCTTTTCCCTCCCCCCACAAGTGTAACTTGTCCCCATGGAGATGCTATTTTCTTCTATAACAAATGTCCCCACCCCACCACCATAATCCTGACCCAAATTCTTCCCCCAATCCCTGCAGCTACTATTTAAAAGTTTTAAGAAGTGGGAAATCCAGTCACAAATCTCCAACATCTCCTTGAGTATGGCCCTTGGAACTAGACCTTCACTTACATTCAGTTCATGCATAAATAAAGCAGTCCTGTCAGCAACCAGGAGCCAGTAATCCTCAGAATCTTGAGGACAACCCATTAAAATGTGAAGAATACAAATTCCTGTCTTCGCTAGAAACAAAGCCTAAATGGCCGGGTTCACTGAAAATCTTTGGTGAACATTTTTTAAAAAAAATCCCTATGGATGCTTAAGCAACACTTTTTAATGTGAAAGATGATTCAAGACATAAACTGAGGTCTTCCCCATCGGTAGTTACCGATTAAGGACAAACTCCATGTCCTCTTAGCAGAACCATGACTACTTCCTGTCTGGTTATGTTGTGAATTATAGCTTCGCCATGCTATTGAAAGTTACTTTTTTTGGCCATTAAGTCATAGCTGACTTATGGCAACCCTGTGGCGTTTCCAAGGCAAGAGAGATTCAGCAGTGGTTTGACATTGCCTTCCTCTGCATTGCAGCCCTGTACTTCCTTGATTTCCTATCCAAATACTAACCAGAGCTTAGCTTCCAAGATATGGCAAGCCTGGGCTATCCAGGGCAGAGCATTCAAAAATGACTAACAATCATGCCCTGACCTGGATAGGCCAGGCATGCCTGATCTCATCAGATCTCAGAAGCTAAGCAGGGCGGACCCTGGCAAGTATTTGGATGGGACACCTCCAAGGAATACCAGGGCTGAGAGGCAGAGGCAGGCTATCAAGCCACTTCTCTGAATGTCCTCCGTACTCCATCAGGAGTCGCCAGAGGTTGCCATGACTTCCAGGCACACAAATACAAAAAAAAAGAAAAAAGATAATTACTAGCAATCACTAAAATCCCCTTTCCTTCCCCCATATAATAACCACAGTTCCTTTAAGGAGATCTGACAGTAAGAATACTATGCAAGTAACAGTAGAAAAGAGCAAGAGTCCCAGTAGCACCTTAAAGACTAACCAAATATGTGGCAGGGTAGGAGCTTTTGTGAGTCTCTGGTCACTTCTTCAGATACCGCTAGAATGGGAGTCCATAGGACAGATGGACTCCCATCTAGCTGCGTCTGAAAAAGTGAGCAGTGACTCACGAAAGCTCCTACCCTGCCACATATTTGGTTAGTCTTTAAGGTGCTACTGGGACTCTTGCTCTTTTTTTACTGCTACAGACAGACTAACATGGCTACCCATCTTGATGTATGTAACATGGACAAGCATCTTATCAACTGTTAACATCTCATTGATATCAAACTTTGGTTGAGGGGGATGCATCTAACATGATCTCTGCGGTCTCAGACAAGGCCTCATTGATGCTCTGAACAAAAGAAAAGTTCTGAAAGGGTGCATTCAGACGGGTCGTTTAGTCCGTTTTCAGCACGCTTCAGTAACGGATTTTATGTCCACGTTCACACACCCAACATCTGCACACCATCCCCAGCTGTTGCTTCCTGGCTCAAACCCCCTTTAAAACGGAGTATTTTGTTACCAGGTCCCCAAGTGGTGTTTTCTTGATTCTCCGGTTCTAGCCGCACTTTTCTGACGTCTGATCGCCCCTGCGGTGTCGAGCCACTTCCGGTTTAAACCCCCTCCCTGCTCGAAAGCTGCCCGAGGCTTCCGCTTTTCGCCCGCCATTTTTTTAATGTGTTGGCGGTGTGCTCATAGGCGGCGCTCCGTCACTGCGTTTAGAAAACCGACATTTAAGCGGTCACTTGTTTTAGCGTTTAGATGAGTTCAGGATCTCATGGAGGCCATTTTCGGGTCAAACATTTAAAGGGAAGTCTTTTGTTGGAGGAGTTGGATTGATTTGCCCTGGTGGTTCTGCGCATGCGCCATGATAGTTCCCCCCCTTCTACGGAGGGGCGCCTATGCGCATGTGCAAACTGAGGGAAGAAGAAAAAACCGCCGACACACGCTCACGCGTGTCGGTAGTGTAGACGCCGGGGAGCGACATGACTGCGCGGTGAGGCGGGGTAAGGGAGGTAAGTGTGATCGCGATTATCCAGATCAAATATAATCCGGTTAGAACTGGAGCAGTTTAACCCGTTCTCAGCACGCCGTCTAACCGCACCCAAAAACCAATGCTTGCATATTAATGTATAACCAATTACAGTCTGTTATGCCTACTTTGTCCTATCTGCTTTTCAGAATTTTTAATAGTTTGGACACATTAAATCCCCTTATTCTAGAACAATTGCTTGGTTAGAGCGACACCTGAAGAATTTGGGGTCTTTTCCCCCCATTGTGGCCAGTGACAGAAGCTATCAGTATGAGAAATATGTAAGAACGAATGGGTTCAAGTGGCAGTAGTACAAACGTGTTGAACAGGTGTCAGAGAAAAGCACTCCGCTATGACTGGGAAAGTGATAAATTGAACAGAAAAAATGTTGGCATTCCACCTTTCTGCGTTTCAGGGGAGTGAACAAGTATGCCAAACACACCATTACTACCACTGAAGTAGTACAGGACAATCTAGCGGTTACAGTTCTTAATGACTATGAGCAGCCACTGACAGAAGTGACTTGTAATTACGAAGTCCCCCTTTCCTTCCCCCATATCGCAATTCCTTTAAGGAGAATCCTTTAACTAAGTATACGCTTAACAGGCCCAACAGCTGTAAAGTTACTATTACACTCACCTCTTGCAGCACTAAACCTATGAATAGTAAAGTCCACACTGGGAACCCAAAAAAAGTACAGCTGAATGAAATATTACCAACCACTGTAAGAACGACACAGACAAGAGATTAGCTGGGTAGACAGACATGCCTGTAGAGGTTTCAAAGCAAAACCACCAGTCTGCAGATATGTAAGAAAACATTTCTGAAGCCTTTATTTACAAAAGCTTTAAAAACAAATTCCCTCTTATGCAAATTTCTTTTGTTTTGTCTTGTTTTTTTAAAAAATAGGACCACCCAGTTACATCATTGTAACTTAATGAGGAGAAGGAGGGGGAAGAAAAGCAGGTTAAAGTACATGGTAAACAAATCAACTTGCAGAACATTTTCTAAGATTTACTCATTGATTTTCAGTGTAGACGAGAGGGCCAAAGGCTGCCCCCACAGGCACTCCATCATTTTTCAGGATAGGGTTTAGCTATTCAATGCCAAATTAAAGTCTTCCTGCACCACTGCAGTGTGTGCGTTCCCGGCATGGTTAAGAAAGTCCTTTATGATCCTTTAATAAAAACAATGCATTTCTAAAATAGACTTAAAAAAATAAGCTAGCCTTACGCTCCTCAGGTAACTTTATTAGGTACAAATAGATTTGTTGTTTTACAACAAATACCTTTGTAGCAGCTACAGTAAGGACAAAAAGTTTATTTTCCTCTTTTGATTTAGCTAAATATCAAGTTGGTTTCAGATCTTTGGATCTCATCCTTAATTAACTTTGTATTCACCCATCCATTCAAGTACACAATAAATAGAAAGTATTTTATGGGCATGGCTTGCTGGAAAAGAGTAAGGAAATGGGTCTGTATGTCTGTCTGCAGTCAAATGAACTGCAGTTTCTATCATTTTTAAGCTCAAAGACTCAAAAACTTAAGGACACACAAGTTTTTTCTGATGGCTGTAAAACTGGCTTGCACACAGAGGAAGCAATCCATAAGGGATTTCTGTTGCATACACTTCCTGCCTGCCCCAGAAATGAAAAGGAGCTACACAGGAACAGAACTGGGCTCTTGCATAGTACCTGATCCATTCCCCAGAGTGTGGGCAGGAGAGATTTTCCCTCACTGCAACCCAGTTATTCCACCACAGAGAGTGTTGAACTGGCAAACTACTTAAAAGCTGGTGCATATACTTGGAAGACCGAACACCAGTTAAGATATAAGACCAGCTGCTAAGAGTTCAGTAATTCTCAACAGAGATTTATGCAGCAAGTGTGTTTTGGTTTAATGGGTTCAAAACCTGGGAAAGGAGGGGGGAGGCAACATGAGGTTACTACAAGATGGAAGATGAACATTTTTCTCAAGGTCAGGATAGAAAAACCAGAGGATCTGACTCAGACTCACTCTTCTAAAGTGCAAATGTGATGGTCCACAATCTTGAATAGCTAAAACTCCTGTATACTGGGAAGGGATAAACATCAAATGGGGATATCGGTCACAATCAGTGCTACTTCAGTTTTTTGGGGGAAAGAGTACAGGGAAGATAATAAACCAATGCTAAGACCAATTAAAGTTTACCAGAAATTTCATTATCATTTTAGCTTTCCTCTTCTGTCTGCCACGCTGCTCCTACACATGGTTGTGTATAGATGGGCAAGGTACAAGGCCACGTTTAAACCCAGAAATGCCTATGCATCAAGGTCAAAGAACTGGTATAGGAACAGTCAGATTTTAGTACATAAAGGCAGGAAAAAAGGACCATGTGCTGAGTAATGGAGGAAAAACGAATGCCTTATTGTCCAAGGAATTCAACCAGAGATAAAACCTATGTACAAGCATGTGGCGCTCCGAAAAGGTGGCTTCTCACTTCATGTCATGATTGCTTGCTGGCTTCTTCTTCATACGCATTTCCTGTCCCGTTCTGTACATAAGATGAGGCGGAACCAAGGCCATACAAGTGACCGCAGTACTTGGCATCATCGATGTGGTCTTCAAAGAACATCTGGAGAAAATTTGAACACAACTTGATATTGCTGGCTTCCCCCCCTTGCCTTTTGACAAGCAGCAAAGCAAGCAACTACCATCTGAAAGTCTGCTTCAAAGCTCAGCCAATAAAATCTTAAAATAAAATACTCCTCCCAAAAAAACACTCTTACCGTCTGAACTCTTTTTCTACAAAAGGAAGACCTCCCCCCCCCCACTGCCATTAGGTTTGTGCATTTAACAGCTGTGAGAGGGGCAAGAATTTAATAGCTGCTGCATTTCCCATCTCTGCAACTGCTGACACAGCCTCTTCTCATATGAAGGATTATTGTGTCAGGAAATTCTGCAGCTGTTAAAATTAGTTACCGGGGAGGGGGGAGCCAGTAACCCTATTACCAGTCTCTGCCAAGTCTACAACTATGCCTCCACGAGGCCAGTTGTTCAGGTATTATGGATGCTTGCTAATCATATCCTCCCTTTAACCTCATCTGAATTAAACCTAATATAGCACAACAGTGATAATCACTCAGCTTTCCTCATTCCTTCACCAAGGACAGAATTCCATGCTGGGCACCCTGGTTGTTCCTATAAGCAGCTCCACTTGGGAGAAGCCGGAGGGTTTGGAAAGAACTTGTTGCCTAATTCAGGGCTCTCTCCTGGAAAGCAGCTCTTCTTTTTCACGTCGGTAGTCAGGGGCACACACACCATGTCACAAAATGCTCTGTAGCAGAAGGCTGGCGTTTTGTTTTAGTCTGCTGAAAAACCCATGGAGGGTCCAAAACATACATGGGGGGAAACAACAATTTCCACAGCAGAACATTTCAAACTGCCTGAACAACAACCCCAGAATGGAGTGGTTGGCATCATTATTAGCCCATAAAACTAACTCAACCCCATTAAATGTTTCTCTTTTCATTCATTTGATGAACCAATGGGAGGGCATACTGCTGCCCACATCAAACTTACTAGGCTGTGGACAGGAAGCTGCAGGGGTTTTTTTTCCTTTCTGGTCATGCATACATAAACTAAGGATGACTTCCAAGGATGTTCAGCACAATTAACAGCTTGCTTATTTACACCTAACTCTCCGAGAGAATCCACCTTTCACAAGGTAATTCGAGCGTGGCACCCTGTTAGCGCGTAGCAGCAAAATAAAATAGGGACCAGTGGCACCTTAAAAGCTGGCAAAATTTATTCCAGCATAAGTGTTGAAGTGTCAGGGCTGACTTCCATCAGATGCATGAAGCATTCATCCATTAGGCAGGACTATTTGTACTCAAAACTCTAGTTGGGATCAGTGTTCCCTCTAAGCTGAGTTAGTGTGAGCTAGCTCACAGTTTTTCAGCCTCCAGCTCACACATTTTTGTCTTAGCTCAGGAAGGAGGGCTCCAGAGCAAACTGATTTATGCAGTAGCCAAATCTCTGGCTCACAACTTTAAGGCCAGTAGCTCACAAAGTAGGATTTCTGCTCACAAGACTCCACAGCTTAGAGGGAACATTGGTTGGGAGTGGTCCTTACTGACTCTGAGTGGACTGGTTACTCTTTCATTGGTTTTAGATTATCTTCCCTTTACAGCATCTCTCCTCCAAACACACACAACCCTTCTGTTGCCTGCAGCTTTGCACATAAATACTTCTGCCTAACAAGTGAACAATCCAACTCACAAACACCTAATGCTGGAATTAGTTTTCTTCGCCTTTAAGGTGCCACTGGACTGGTTTTAATTCACCTGGCGCAAGGTTACCTTCAGTGGACACAATCCTCAGTGGTAAATAAAGAAACAGAGGCTGCAATCGTACGCAGAATTAGACCCAACATAGGCGCGAATGCCGGGTGGATTTAAAGGGTGCGATCAGACAACGACACCTGGGAAACGTCCCACAGCCGTCGGCAACCCGTTCTGCTCTGCCACAGAAGTGGAGTTAAAAGACACGGGGGGGAATCCAGTAGTAAACCGGTTGCAACGAGCCACGGACGGACTTTCCTGTCTGATTGCTCAAGCGCACTCTCATGCCGTAAGGATGGCCTGATCAGGCAATCCCGACTCTGTGCCTCTGTGTCATCGCAAACTCCATACGGAACCCTCAGTGCAGAGGTCAAGGTAAAGGTTCCCTTGCTCGAAAGCCAGTCGAATCCGACTCTAGGGTTGCGGTGCTCATCTCCGTTTCAAAGCCGAAGAGCCAGTGCTGTCCGAAGACATTTCCGTGGTCATGTGGCCGGCATGACTAAACACCAAGGCGCATGGAATGCTATTACCTTCCCACTGAAGTGGTACCTATTTTATCTAGTTGCAATTTCTTGCTTTCAAACTGCTATGTTGGCAGGAGCTGGAACTAGAGATGGGAGCTCATTCCATCATGCGGCACCCGGGTCTCGAACGGCTGAACTACCGACCTTCCACAGCCTGCAGTTCAGCATCTTAACCACTTGAGCCACCGCAGAGGTGCATGTCATCAATTCCTCATTTAAGCGCACGGGAAACAAACAGCACAAAAAACCCCAACTCACCCGCAGTTGTGTCTGATCACACAATGACGGGCTGTACCCGCAGCTTCAAAAAGAGGTGTGATTTGTACAACTGCGGGTCTATCATTTCCCGGTTTTATCTGGCGCGTGTGACTGCACCCAGATAATGTTTTGAGGCCTCTGGGCTGAAGGTGATCAAAGAACCTTACACGTACCTCTCTCATTTTGAAGAAGGCCATGCCTGTTAGTAGAGAATCAGATCCTGCCTGATGCTGTGGTCCTATCCTCTCCAACTCTAACTGCTCAGCTACTTCTTGCAATCCACCCTGAAAGAGAAGATGGCTACACAGTCAACCAGTTCTACCACAAAGAGACCAGCAAGATTAATTCACTATAAGGAGAATTTGCCAACCCCAATCTATTTGTTTACAGCAGGAAGAGAAAAGCAGTGAACACATAACTGAATTCAGACCATGACCACGGCTGAAGTCAGGAGTGCTTTAAAGTACAAAGTGGATGAGAGAGAGCCCAGCTGGAACAAACAGCCATTTATAAAGCACCACAAAAAGATAAAGCAACGGGTATATTAAAAACAAGGAACCTGCCTGCAGGCTTACAGTCTAGGATAGGCTTACAGGCATTGGCAAAACTGTGGCTATTCAGAGGCCCCTGGTGGTCTGCGTAGTCATGACGTGGGCAGTACTGGCCCATCTGGAGGTACAGCACATATTCCTGCAGGGACCGCGACAGAACCTTAGCGAATATACAAAGGCCTGATTATATATGTAGCAGAATGCCTGCTGCTCTTAAAGAATTATCTGAAAACCCAGTTCTCATCATTTAAACTCAAGAGCCTGTTTTTCAAGACTACGGGACAGTTCAGGCTTTTAAACGCGCACAAAGAATCAAGAAGAAAATCCCTTTAAGAATTAATGCAACTTTCAGAATCCTCTGCTTTATATAGCACGTGTTCATGATCAGATCGAAGGCAAATCAAACCAATGCATTGCAATATTTGTTTGTTTTTTTAAAGTATGAAGGTATAAAGATGGAGTGGAAGGAGAGAAGGAAAAGGAGAGAAAGTGACATTTTTATTCTATACATCTTTACCAGTTCTATACTGTCAGCTGTCATGACATCTCCACTTAATCCAGAAACTGAACATATTATAAAACAACTTTGCAGAAGCCAAACAGGCCTGGCTGATCAACGCCAGGAAGGGATACTACCTAGGGACACTGCCTTGGAAGAAAGGAGGCTTAAATATATATATAGTTTGGTGCAGGTGCAGACAATTCTGTCAGATCAACCTTTGCCACCTACAGAACTGTAATTTCCAGGTTTTACTGGGGGAGAGTGAAGCCCGTATGTCAGCACTGTAAATACTGAAAAGTTAAAACTGGGTCCTATGTTGTAGGTTTGGCATTAAAGGACAAGAGTCTGAAGTATCAGAATAAATGATATTTTTTAACCAGATGACAAACAACCATTTTCAAGCAATGGCCTGGTCACTACTACATAGATAATACATTGGCCCATGATTCAAATTCTACAAAATAAGTGATTGGATTTAGGATCCTAAACTATGAGCATATGAAACTGCTTTTTCTGAGACAGGCCACTGATCCGGCTAACTCAGTACTGCCTGTTTTAGCAGGCAATGAGTCTCGGGTCCCATGGAGAGAAAACTCATTGCCCAATACTTGCAAACTGAGATCCTTTTTTGTTGCTGCTGGTTTTTAATATGTGGTTTTTTTCATGTATGTTTTTAATCATTAGCTGCCTTAAGGAAGAAAGGCAGAGTATAAATTCTGTAAATAAAACAAAACAAAATATATAAATAAGTGGAGATGTCAGGACAGAACACAGGACCCCTTGAACTACAAGTCCTTTCCGAAGCTATACCCACTCTACCCCCAACTATAGAAAAGACCAGATGTACACTGTGCTCAAACAGGTCTAAGGGATACTAAAACAGAGCAAGTACCTTAAAACACAAAAACTAATATAACGGGAGGTGTTAAAATATAGTAAAGACATGAAATTTATTTTGCACATTTATGACGTTAGGGCTTCCCAGCTGTGTGCTTCAGCACTAAGAACATTATTCTTGCATAGGATCGGCGAATGGCTTTTGACCTCTTGCTCAGCATCTATATTCAGGCCGGCCACCCCCTTTAAGATAAATGTAAGAAGGTTCCATTCCCTTCTGTATGTATTATATAAGTCTTACTATCTATCTGGGTTACAAGGATATGCACAGCGGTGGCATTACAGTAGCACAGAGTAAGCCACCCAGTTTGGCCTATGTACCATCTCCCATGAAGATCTAAAAAAACAGCCTGCATTCCCCAGAAGTTTCAAAATAAATCACCCAGATGACGGTCCTCTTTTGCTGTGATGTGCTTTTAAAGCACATCTTCCCAAGTCTAGTCCTCCCCCAGCAACGGAACTGTTTTTACATCACCTAATGCAGCAGAACCACTTTCTCCTACGTTAACTTTAAAAAAAACAAGAGAAGATGCTTTCTGATAGCAATGTAAGAGTTTATTTGCCAACAAAGAAGCAGAACAAACAACATACCCACCAACACACAGTAACACAATTTGGTCAGTTACAGCCTGTGGGCACAGAGTATTTTCTAGTTACTCCTGTTAAGGGTGTTAACTTGGGGGTGGGGGAAGCCACTGGGAAATCAAGTTGTGGGCCAACAAAAGGAAAGTTCAGATGGTAGAGGCGATTCTGAAGTCATAAAAACCTGGAAAATCTGCTTCTGTTATCTGCACAGCCAACCTCTGGTTCATTAGATAATTCCGTTCAACTGGCATACATTTCTTTTCAGTTAATTCAGTAGTAGAGCGAGAACTTTCCCAAAAATCTTAGCCCAACTGCCAGCATTTTTGCCATTTCTGTAAATTCTTCAAAATAATGTGTAACATCCCTTGGTTTGCAAGCAATTCACAGTTAACCACAAGGCATCGTTGGTTCAGAATATCAGCAGCCAGCCTTTAACTAAGACTTAGCCACAATGCTGGTCAGTGTCTGGTTCTCATTGGCTCCCTCCACTTACAAAAGCCCAAGTTCACAAAACCCAAGCTATCCCTTGGCCTTGGGTCAGCTGTGCACCTTTAATTTCAGTACCACTATGCATGGCAGAGGTTTCCTTTCCCCATTTTCTGTTTAACATCACAGGAGCAGCAATGGGTCCACTTTGCTGTTCTTCCTTTCATGCCTCCATGTCCAGCCTGCATTTGTCCTCCAGTCCAACATGAGTCTCCAAATGTTATGCCTAACAGAATAAGCCAGTTAGTAGCCTAAGTAGCTTCTGAGCAGTGAATTCATTATTTTTTTAAAAAATCCTCAATTTCTTGATGTGCTCAGCTGCCTTTCATGTTTATGTGCTTTTTCATAAGTCACACTATTTCACCATCCCAAGTATGTTAAGATTGTCCCAAACATAGTTCATAATTGCCACAGTAAGAGGCCTCTGGATAACTGTGGTATCTACAGGCTTTGACAGCTGATCCAGTCATTCATGGAAAGTCCTCTTCTAGCCTTCTAGAAACTGTGCCACCCACTCAACCTCTAGAAGCACTCAACGTCTTCTTACAGCAGCAAACAGACCCAAAAAAAGTGCTGCAATTTTTCCTCACTGCTTCAGAAGTCAGGCACTACCCCAGAGTAAGCCAGCTAGTGAGGCAGTGATTCTCCAGTGGTTGTCACAACTATTAAAGCTACAGTTATATAAAGGCTTATCACCCTCTATTTCACATTCTTGTGTGGACGGCCTCTTAGACTGGTATGACAGTATCTTCCTACCTCAGCGTGGAAACCAGCAGTCCCTTAGATATACACTTGCTATAATCAAGAGGGCCAATTAACAAGAATCAAGGGCCTGTGCATATTTACAGGACTTCTGCCACTCTGACCTCTTTCAAGGCACTCCAAGCTGCTTTAGAATCTCGACTTCAGAAACAGCTTTGTTATGTAACTAGCAATTCTTCCGAAGTATGAGATTCAGCAGCTTGGCTGCTTAATTCTTCTCTGGCTTGGCTGGCAAATCCTCGTCAGAGAATAAGTCGTCCTCTTCTCCCTGCATCTAACATGCCTGGCCCAGCTGCTGGGGAATGATGTGGTGGTGTCATCAGACAACTAAGGCAAGGAGAAATTCTTGCTACCTCCCTCTTCCTATTATTTGGAGGGAAGAGGGGAAAGGATAGAAGAAAAGGTGCCATCTTCCCCTCATCTCAGTTAACCGGATAGTACCACCCCACCACTCACCAAAAGGACAGATGGTGTTGTGGATGACCTAGAACACTCTTGATAATGAGATTTGTTGGAGCTCAATTCTGAATACAGCCAAGCAGAGAGTGGTATGGTGGCTCCCTCTCAATATGAGACACCAGGGACTGGATACAGGTGGGGAAAGTCACTAAAACACATCCTGCTTTTTGTGATGGCTAACAGCAAGGACACAGATAATATAATGGAATTGCTCCTTTGTCACAGGAAGGACCACGAATCTTAACTGTACAGCCTTGCCTTCATTTTAACTCCCTCTTATTCTGTTCCTGCTATAAAGACAAAGCTTAGCTATACATCCTTTTCCCACTAAGGCAACACTATTCTAGAAAGCACTGTTCAATATCCACAGAAAACATGGCCATTACCTTGAGATTTTTGCAGCTCTTCATAAGGTACTTCACATCATAAATTACAGGGAAAAACAGTCTCAGTATCTCAAAGAAGTCCATCTCTTCTTCGGGTAAATTGGAATTTGTCAGGATCTTGATGAGATAGCCGAAATCATAGCCACTGCGGATTAACCATAAGTGGGGGTGGGAAACCTTGAGATTATGTTGGCAATGATTCCACAAGTTGTTCCTTTTAGAAAAAACAAACAAGCACCCACCCACCCCACAATTCTAAGAATCACTTCCCGGTGCCTTCCTGGGGTGGGCATTCTTTCAAAGATTACATATGTATTGTATACACCCACCTGATGTAGGGCTAATACGATTCAGTACCCTTTCATGCTTTAATTTTATATGAATTCTTAAATGTCCCTTTTGTAGAACCGAAGATGCCAGCTTGTTATCATGACGCATCAATTTCACAGAGCAAGGGTTTGATCCAATGGTTTGTCTTCCACCAGTGTTAAGGCACTTCGATCACTTGTACTTACAGCTGGTTCCTCCCCTCCCCCTGCAGAGCATCCCAATCCAACCTCTGTGAGGGTCCCCCTGCTCCGGGGAGCTCAATGGGCTGCAGCAGGAGGGGGAGGCTTTTCTACCTATCACCAGACCAACCACCTCTGTATTTTCTGAGAAACCAATACAGGTATTTTACTCATGCTAACATTTCTAATGTACATCTGTTTTATAAACACAAGCTCATATACTAACACTATCAAAAGTCTATTTTAAGTAAATGTATGGTTCACATTTCAAACCCTTATAAACAATGCTCGGAAATATTTACACATCTGATTGACAACAACCACGCTGATAGGAAGTTCTGCTCTGCCAGACTAGACAGACTAGACCAGTTTGTCTTTAAAAACTTGATGGAGACTAAAGTCGGCTAGCACACAGGAACGCACAAACGTCCAGTTAGCAGCTATATGTCGCTATCACTGTATCTAATGAATACCCTGTCAACTAAAATAGTTGGTCTCGGTCAGTGTTCCCTCTAAGCTGAGTTAGTGTGAGCTAGCTCACAGCTTTTTAGCCTCCGACTCACAGATTTTTGTCTCAGCTCAGGAAGGATGGCTCCAGGGCAAACTAATTTATGCAGCAGCCAAATTGCTCGCTCACAACTTTAATGCCAGTAGCTCACAAAGTAGTATTTTTGCTCACAAGACTCCACAACTTAGAGGGAACATTGGTCTCGGTACAAAATATAAAAGGAAACATCACAAGAGCTGTGGACTGAATCCCACCTCCACGTTACGGGGCTTCTGGGCCCTCCCCCTTCCTACTGCACTCTTTTAAAAATCTATTCCCAAAAATCTGCTGTTCCAAAACAGCACAAGAAGCTATAAAACATACAGATTTCTAAAATACCTTATATGCCGCACAAAGAAGCACCTGGACATTCATTTGCCAGATCTTGGCCAAGGATTTCTACATCATTAGAATTAGATGGGCTTGTATAGGACTGGGCTGCGTATGCTTACTTTGAAACAAACTCCTCTGCATTCAATCCATTCCCAACAGGCACGAATAGGGCTACAGACTTTGCACAGCTTTATATATTTATGCTGTGCATTTTCAAGGAGCAGAGTTATTTAGTTAAGAGCAATATACTGCTGAATAATTGTAATAGATCCATTTTAGGAAGTTATTTCAAAAACTGTCAATTTCATTCTGTTTCTCCATTTGCGCTGATAACAAACAGCTGCTCAGACAAGATAAAGATGTGACCACCTGCAAAGCATTAGTTATAAGCTAAGGATACCACTAAATAAAATGTGTTTACACAGACATGACTGACTGAAGAGCACAGATGATTTCTTTGTTGTGGGTCTACTGAATGGCTGGGAGAATGATGGCCTTCGTTGTTATTATCAGCAGTTTCTTTTAAGAATTTATGACCAATGTACCCGGAGAGACTATGGCAGATTTGGTGTAGTGGTTAAGTACGCGGACTCTAATCTGGGAGAACCGGGTTTGATTCCCCACTCCTCCACTTGCACCTGCTGATGTGACCTTGGGCAAGCCATAGTTCTGATAAGAGCTGTTCTTGAAAAAGAGCAGTTTCTGTCAGAGCTCTCTCAGCCCCACCTACCTCACAGGGTGTCTGTTGTGGGGAGGGGAAGGGAAAGGAGTTTGTAAGCCACTCTGAGACTCCTTTGGGTAGTGAAGGGCGGGGTTTAAATCCAAACTACTCCTCCTCCAGCTTCCAGAGACCATTTATAAAAAAACACAATGAACGCTATTACTGCTTCAAATATTAGGGCCTGTATTAGATAGCCAGTGTGGTACAGTGGTTAGAGCGTTGGACTAGGATATTGGAGACCCCGGTTCAAATCCCTGCTCTGTCACAGAAGCATGCTGGGTGACCTTGGGCCAGTCACACACCCTCAGCCTGACCTACCTCACAGGGCTGCAGTGAGGATAAAATAGAGGAGAGGAGAATGACGTCAGCCACTCTGGGTCCCCATTGGGGAGAAAGGCCGGGGTATAAATGAAGTAAACAGTAAATAAATAAATGTTCAGAAAACATCAGCAGCACTTCAAGCATCAATGATGGTCGAAAAACGAAAACACACAAAGAACAAGATACCCAGAAGTTGCCACTTGCTCAACTTGAGCATTTTGATTTCAGTAAATTTTGCTGTTAAGACTTCCCCCCCCCCACTCCCACCATTTACAACATATGTGCCTTCTGAGTTTCAACAGGAAAAATGCATGCTGTACATGGAATTTATTTCAATAACGCTGAAGGAAATGTTTGGCTTAAATAGATTTTTAAAAATTCCCGTTCAAAATTTTCCATTTTTATTTACCAGCTTTAGAAGACACAATAAACAATTACGTCCATGATACAAAACAATGTTTTGTGAAATAAGCCCTCTCTAATTATATTCTATAGCACTGCCACTAAGTCTTCTATCCAGTAAAGCTTCTTAGCAGTCATGAAAAATTTGTATTGCAGTTGTTTGTTAGGTTCTCTTGCACATATTATATTAATCTACACTCACATCATTCTGAAAATCATCTTTCCATTGCAAACCCTGGAAGTTATATGGTGCTACCAGTTACTTTTTCTTGGAATACCTGCCAGTAGGCATGCATACCAAAATCAAGCTTCAGTTGCAAACTTTCCCCTACAGGAAGACTGCCGACAGAAAAAGGAGAAGCATTTGCGCAAAAGAGCTAAGCACTTTATGAAGTAATCCACCAAGCAGCTTTACTCAAGCTATTTTCAGTCTGTGTTGTGTGGCGGCAGCCTGCAGCAGCACAAAACACAGTGCTCAGTGAAAAACATCCTCCGGCTGGTGTGTCTGAATCATAGCCGTGATTCTGTGTGGATGTGGTATCTTCTGATGAAAGGCATTTCCATTAGCAGCAGAATGGAGCATCTTTGCTTCTGCCTTCCCACTCCAACCAGAAATGCCTTTCATTAGAGGAGATCTAACACAGATCTTGAATCAAATCATTGCTGGATACTTAAGCAAACATCTAGACTGATGTCCAAATCCTTCCATAGGTTTTGGCTGATTTGTTTACCCAATCCCTTCCCCTAAGGGGTTGGGTTGAGGGAAAACTGAAAACAACCCATGCAGGAAGCAAACAAAGTTTCATTTGTCCAAACTCTGGCATTACAATTAAGAAAGAAGGTTTGTGTTTTCCCTACCAGCATTATCAAAGAGTCTTCAGAGATGCACTGAATTTGGACCTTCCAACGATGTTAATCAACTAATTCCAGTTTCCATTTACCTGCTAAGCGTACACAAAGGGTAGAGATATGTGGCTGTTCCTTCATCTGACCTGGAAAACTGTCAAGGCAAAATAAAAATATACAGTGCTCCCTCTCTACAAGGCTGACACTTTAGTGCCTTGTTTTAAGACACCAGTTATTTGCTTCTAGTTGGAACTGAAGTGTAAACTTTACTGTACATGTTCTGCTGCTTTAAAGGTTGCTATATCGAGAATTCATCCAGCCCTGACGATCTAGGTTAGATATTAGTCACAATTATTTAATGCTACAGTTCAAAAAAAAGAAAAGGAAAGGAAAACCAACTAGAGTGTTATGCAGCATTTACCTATGAAATGAAAGCCACTTGACACCTTCACACAGCACTACACCCGATGTCATTAGAAGTTCAGCGAAGTACTGTGTTTCAATTCCTTCTTCCTCATGTTTTTTGAACTGGATTCCAGATGTTGTTAGTAGCTCTATAGAGTCCTGGGCATACATGTCCTCTCTAGGGGAAACAACACAGCAAAAACTACTTAAAACACGGATTTCTCAAGATGAAATTTTAAAGAAGAATCCTGCATCAACTCCTCCCTATAACTGGCCAATGCATAAATAACATTTGTGCTAATTGTTAAAACTAAACTGTTAAATATAATTAAGACAGAAATCGCCAGGATATTTGCTCAGAAGAACATGCCGCTGATGGTGAACAACATACAATACTTATACTCAAGGCTTCACTCATTCTTCAGGATTGTGTACCACTGAAATCTGAAGGAAGATTTCTGATTTCAGCGTAACTCACCTCTAGACTGAGGTTTATGCAATCATTGATCACCCTGAGTTATGAACAGCTTTGCAATTCATTAAGCAAAATAAGTAGTCAGTCCAGGCATTCAGTCACAACCTGAAACCATCTTCACTAATTAAAAGATTGGACAAAAGCTAAAATTGCTTAAAAGATACAATGGGCTCAATTCACAAACACAATCATGCCCTCTATTAAAAGGTACATCATAAATATTTACATATGCAAGACTGTTCTTTTTCTTAGCCTAATTCATACAGTGCCTGGTTGTGAATTCCCTATTCCATATTTAGACCCTGCTTACCATACTTACCATCATGCTACACACAGTCTTCACTTACAATCTCACTTATTAACTACACTTGCACTTTTTAATTGTACATGCATGCTTTTATATTTATGATGAAGTCACAAATTTTGCTGTTTTGCATCACTTTCAATGTTTTTATGTGCACTACTGTTTATGAATGTACTGATTGAAAATTAATACAATACTTAAAAAATATTTACATATATACTATGGGTTTGTAGTAAGTCCCCATTGTGCATAAATACTTCAAATAATAATCACACCTTAAAATATGATAGTAAATTGCAGCAGTTATTTAAAACAACAATGTAATACAAAATATGAAAATTTCAAGATCATAGATTCCAGTGGTGCTTAAAAAATTCCCTCACACTATTTGAAAAATTCCACTGGAGACCTCTAAACACTTTAGATGTTTAAATGAACACAGTCTGTAGCTGATGGGGAATCCAAATGCCATGTAGTGGCACTCCAAAGAAGAGGATCATCAGCACCAGACTTTCTAACAGACCATCCCACTTGAGATACAACTGATTTTCTCATTAAGAATTATAAAGTTAGAAATCTCTATCAAAGGTACAGTATTACAAATCCAGATAGGTCAACGGATCTTAATGATTGCTTGTGAAAGGCGCTCGGTTTAAAAAAAAGAAAGAAAGGCCAGATCTAAGTAACCACAAAAAATTGCAAGCTACATGATGCAATCATAAAAATCTGGTCACAATTGTCTTGCAAGCCAAATATTCCATACATTGCAAATGCTGAAATATTTATGAGTCAGCTGTACATTTTAAAAAATCTGGTCACAATTGTCTTGCAAGCGAAATATTCCATACATTGCAAATGCTGAAAGATTTTATTATTCAGTAATTATTTAGCTATGCTTTATTTAGTGCATGATGCACATGGTCTTAGCAAAATGCACTACACTGGGCTGACTGCCATCTTAAATAAACACCAAGCTGGAAGTAAATCCCAGTGAACTGAATGGAACTTACTCTCAAATAAACATGTTTAGGACTGCAGTATACAGCTGTCATACTGACATAGAAACAAATTCCACAATATTCCATCATCCCATCTCCATAGCAAACATACAACATTCTTTACAATTATTCAGCTCATTTAGGTTCTAACATTCCAGAAATTGTCTCTACAGAGGAGATAATTTTAGGCATCAAATAAGGATTTGAACTCTTCATATGCCCCTTTGGAGTGGGGATAATGTTATGACTTGGCACCATGCACCAAACTGCTTACACAAAATGAAATTCAAGTTAAAGAAGTTAACTTCCAAAAAAACTAGTTCACAAGCTCAATGATATGTTCTACAACATGAGGAGGCCTAGCCCTGATCTCTGACTTCTTGGCTCAGTTGCTCATTCTGTCCCTTCAACTGAAGCAGGTATCAGCTCTGTTGCTTAAGGAGGCTTCACACAAGGCATTTTTCTAAAGGAAGGGGGGACAATGCAGTCAGCCTCTTTGAACTAAAACACAGGCTGCATAGGAATGCAGCACAAAAGTCCTCCTTGCATTTAAAGATGAGGAGGTCTGGGCTGTTCAGCATACCTTGAAGAGGATGTCTCAGAAGGCTTCAAAATGCAAGTCTCTCCATGCAGCATAACAACAACAGGATATAGATCAGACTCCCTGGATCTGAGCACCCTTAGGTAGCTAAGCACACATCCAGCTGATTTAAAGCCCCACTCACCTCAATTTCCAGGCACTTCTATCCAAAGCCCACTTAAATCATTTTAAAGGCAAATGTTCACCTGCATTTTAAACCTAAGTGCTTGCATACATATTGAATCATGGCTATTTCAACTCCTTATATGCTTTCAGCAGGTATTTGTTGTAATACAAAACCGGAACAAATTTCCATTTACATGAACAGCACTTACAGCATGAATTTACACTGATATAGCACACCACAAATTACTGCCATCAATCTTTCAGGACTTTATATGAACACATATTATGTGAAAGATTTCATACAGAGACACATGCAGGATTCCGACACTTACGTTAAATTAAATTTAAAATTAAATTGCCACGTTGAAGTTCCTGGAGGATATTCGCCTTGCTCATTCATGAACGTCAATCCTAACTGAATTATCTTTAGTAAGTCTACATTACAGCGGAGTAGCTGGTACTGATAGTCTGCATTGCTTCTGAATTCTCCAATAGGCCTTGCAACTACTCCTGGAAACTCTGTATCCTGAAAGATCAAGCAGAAATGTGTAAAGTAAAATATGAGATACCATGCTGTTAATACATTTCTCCCTAGAAGTTCATACTTTTTTGGTAACATATTTGATAAAGGTTTGAAAAAGGCTTACCAACACAGGAGGCCAATTGTGGAAGCACCAGACACTAGGGCAGACAGTGCTATGGGCATCCCACAAGAACTTACTACGAAAAAGGCAGTATTTTATGATGTGGTTCCATTATGGGCTTTAGCATTTTATGTTCCTGCTTCCAAATTAATACTTCTACTTTATGGCTTCAACAGTGCATAAGTGCAGTACAGCAGGAAAACGGTGATCCTGCCAACACACACCACAATTAAATGTGCCCTTCCCCAATACATCTGGACCACACAAGAGCTTACACATCACAAGTGTACTGGGGCAGTTACACCATCTTGGGTTCCTGTACTGGAGGAAAAGGTCACACTCACCCCTGATCCCAGCCACCTTTTGCAACACCAGCAGACTATAAAGATACAGGACAGTTTTAGTACAGAACACAGAGCTAACTACAACATACATATATTCAGCAACCCAAGTTAACCTAAATTTGACAATACTTGCACAGAAAGAAGCATGTAAGAAAGGTTCAGAAATGGGAAGGTCTAGGTCATTAGTGGAGGAAACGTTACTTGTTTTGTACAGAACTTGCCAAAATAATTAAACCAATGTCAGGGTTGTAGATACAGAAAAAAAGCAAACTCTTCAGCTGATTGTTAATAGCCTTTCCATCAGAGGAAGATTTCTTACTTTAGAGAAGGGAGTCACAGGAGCCAATCCAATATTCACAGAAGTTTGAAACAAAGCATACTGTGTTTGCAAACGTCCTCACTTAAACAGTGAGGTTGTATCAATAGAGGTGATGTCTCACAAAAGCTCATACTGGAATAAACGTTGCAAGTCTCTATGCTACCTTAATGTTTGCTGGCCTTTATGTTTTAACTTGTTAGCCACCTTGGTGGTCCTTGTGCAAAATTTTTTGTAAAATACATAAATACCACTGGACTTCTTTTTGTTTTGGACGTTATGAAGATTCCTCCTGGATCAGACCAAAGGTCCATTGTCCAGCATTCTGCAAAGATGACTCTGGGGACTCACAAGAAGCCCCTATTTTTTGTCCTCAGACTCTGATATTCTGAGGTATCCTGTTTCCCAGCATGAAGATCATATCTAGCTGTCACTGCTGGTTTCCCATGCCACTGGTGGCCCAAGAGTCCCTTGGGGCAGTGACTGGTATGGAAAGCAACCTCATCACCTACCTGCCCCACATAATTCAAAGGCTACCAAGATGGTACGAACCCAACCAACTAGAATCAGCAGCCATGCCATGAAAAGAACATAAGCATCAGACTTTACTCGGAATAATTTTTAAGGACTTATTTCCAAGTTAGAATGTGGAACTTTTATTATTCTTCAACCGCTCAATTATTCTCTTTATGCTTTCTCCTTCCAAATAATGTTTTATAGCATCTTCAGCCAAAGCAAAGAAGATAAATTGAAAACAAAATAAATTGAAAAGCAACGTACCATGGCAACGTAGTTAAACTTCCGTATAACTTGACGGATTTTCTTCATCTCTTCATCCAGGTTGCAAGCCCAAACTTCACAAATTCTTTGGCTGTGATCTACTGTAGCTGCTGGCATACTTGGGAGATTTCAAATACCAGGCATCAAAAAGGTATACTTGATAAAGAGCCTGTATCATAAAACAGATTTTAGCTGCTGACCTAAAATACAAGCAAAAGAAATTAGAATTATTCCAAATTCAGATGGTAGCTTGAAAAAAAAAAGTTAATAATCAGGAATTTTTTTTTAGAAAACTTTGGTGCATTTCATGATCACATCCAACACAAAACCAGAAAAGCTGGTTTACTGATAACTCTTCCAAAAAGATGTATTGGTTTCCCTATCTCTGAATGGTATCTCAAACAAAGAACCAAGAACTGTTGATAAGATCATACCATACACAGTGGGGTGATCCTACAACTCCAATGAGCAACCTATTTATTTATTAATTAAACTATTTATACCCCAACTCTCCTTTTGGCTAAAGTCTGATGTCTGCCTCCAATCTAAAGAGCATTCTTCCAAATTAAGTGCCTCTTCCATTGGAGGAAGACTACTCAGAGAATGGATCCACCCTAACGTAAGGTAAACACATTTTTTTTCTTGTTTGTGGCAAACAACACCACCAGAAAAAGCACACAAAGAGACTGTGAAGCAAGCGTGGAAGTTTTAAAAATCCTACTTTTACAGGTGTGGCTTTCCCAAAAAAGTCAAGGAAGAGAAGGGGGAAGAAATCGGATGTATACCCCACCCTTTACTACTCAAAGGAGTCTCAGAGCAGTTTACAATCCCTTTCCCTTCCCCTCCTCACAAAAGACACCCTGTGAGGTAGGTGGGGCTGAGAGAGCTCTCTCGAGAACTGCCCTTGAAAGAACAGCTCTGAAAGGCCTTATGACTGACCCAAGATCACAACAGCAGCTGCATGTAGAGGAGTGGGGAATCAAACCCGATTCTCCCAGATTAGAGTCCACGCCCTTAACCACTACACAACTATTTGCCTGTCAATATGAGGACTCTCAACTAGAAGCCAACATTACTAATGCCTTCAGTCTGAATGTAAACATATTTCATTTGAAGGATTATTTATTCCATCATGATTTAATTATAAGTAAATAGTCTTAAGATGGCAGCCTTAAACACTTACAGTTTTGATTAACACAAAGAGCAGTGTGGAAATCTAGTAAAGCATCCATACATTTTACTCCACATGAAACATTAAGGCCAATTCACATAACTGTTGATGTGGAAAGCAAAGATGAAAACTTCCGCTTAGAACAGATACTTGACACAAAATGGAATGAGACTGCATCAATCCGTGCATATAATTAACACAAAAACAAGAGCCTAGTGCCCTGCTGCTAAAGGCATGCTCACTTCCTGGGTATGCTGTAGTAAAGTGTCAGATGTAACAGCGATATAATTTATACCTTCCCTGCCACAAATTTCCACAACCCAGAGTCACATAAGAGATGGTACAAAAGACAGCAACAGGAAGAAGGGTACAGTGTACCAAAGGAAGGGGGGCAGGAAAAAATTCTAAGCACCCCTCTTCCTGTAAACTGATATATTTGCAGCAACCACCAAGGAATCTGAAATGTTATTCAGCACTATTTAGGACTGGCTGCTTAGAATCTGACTTTGCCAGCAGCAACAATGAACTGATGTGCATATGACAGGCTTGACAGCAGCTCAAAAATTCAAACTAGAAGGAACACCTATATTACAGCTCTGTAAGTTGTGTTTCTTTGTCTCTGTTTTGGGTTGATATTCCAAGGGCACAGGAGCCCACACATATTTCTTCCCACAGGTTTCTGGAACTATTTGCTACCATATAAAAGTATGTCATTCAACATACCACTGAAAGTGTCTTTTTTCAACTATTTGTTATGGCTTATCAGAAGCCAAATTTTGAACAGTACAGTGGATGTACATGAACAACCTGCTGAAGGCTGGAGCGCATGCTCTAACTAAGGTTCCTGGGTAGCTTTTTTCCAACTACCCTGATAAAGAGCCATTTACAAGTTATTCCAGCACAAGTAAACTCCAGTCCATGAAAAACTACACTGGAATAAAGTCTTGTAGCACTGAAGGCACCACAAAACTCCCACTATCAGTGTCCCCCATTACCCACGATAAAAGAATTTCAAACCAAAACTAAAATGTTTTCTTCTATTTTCATTCACGTGATAGCCTGCCTGACACATTTTTCCTACATATCAAACGTACTATCTTATGAAGAAAACAAATAAATTTATTACTGCTAAACTTTTCTTTAGAAAAGAAAAAATTAAAGGAGGGAATGGAAGACTCTGCCAGCCCCAGGGGGGGGGGGGGGGCACTTTCCGTCCCTTCCCTGCCCCAATCAGTCACGAAGCATTTCGGCTGAGGGGCCGAACTGCCACTAGTACCCCCCACCCGCCCATTCCCATCCCTGCCACTTCCACTCCCCATGCCCGGAAACGCCACCGCCACAACAGCTACCTTCCCTGCCTCACGCCCTCACCTACCTACTCACGCGGGGAAAGGGAGAAGAGAGCGGGTCTAGCTAGGACCCGGCGGCGGCGGAGGCAGCCCCAGCGCGGCGAGTGAAGACGAGAAAGCGCAGAAAGCGGCCGTTCTTGCTGCCCCCTGGCCGCCCAGCGCACAAAGCCATTACATCATCACCGCGCGCCCGCCGCTTAACATCTCGACTCTCAGCTCGCCCTTTTTTTTTTTTGCGGGCTCTCTCGTTCACTCCCCCCCCTCCTCCTCCTCCTCCCGCCTTTGGTTAGCGACGCCCCGCCGTCTCACTCTACGCTCATCTAATTGGACGCGGAGGTTACCTGTCCACCAATAGAAAGCTCCGTTCAGGGGAGTCGGATGGTGATGACGCACGGGGGCGGCGCTTGAGCGCAGGCGCACTTTGTTTGCTCTCGAACCGCGTCGTGAGTTTCCGTCTGAGGGGGCGAAGGGGCGGTGCTTACGGGAGAACGAGGGGGAGGGGGGGCAGGGCATTCTGCGCTCGCTCGTTCCCTTCAGGCGGCGGCGAAGCAGGGGAGGATGAACTGGCTCTTCCCGCTCTCCAAAGGGGGTAGCGGCGGTGGGGCCGCCGCTTCGACCTCGGCTGCTGCCGGGACCCCGCTGCCTTCCACGCTCACTAGTCTCCAGCAGCAAAAGCAGCGGCAGATCGAGTCCCTGCGGAGCGCCCATACCGCGTGAGTGAGCCCCACACACACACACACCCGGGGGTGGGGGTGGGGGGCGGTAGTCTCGGCGTTTCCCCTCTTCCCCGCCCCGCCCCAGACAGAGGAGTCGCCCCTCGCTCAAAGGAAAGCCGCCCGGTGGCGAAACAGCCGGCGGCGTCGAGAGCGAAAGGGGCGGAGCCGCAGGGCTTCCGGCGTCCCCTTTAAAGTGTGAAGCTGCGCAGTCGGAGGACGTGTTCCGTCTGTCCCTTTCTCCAGCAACTGGCCT